GTCCATGGTCCAGGGGGTGCCTGTGGTGAGGGCTTTCTTTTTAGTGGGGACTCTCTATGGATTACCATGGAGACACAGGCTATTACATAGCCATGGCCGAGCAAGAGGGTTTTAATATGCTCACTTGTTCTCCCTATAAAGCCCTCAGTCTACTCCCATGATAACCCATTAAACTATTAACCCATTAATCCATGAGTGGATTAATCCATTCATGAGAGTATAGTCCTCATGATCCAATCACCTCTTAAAGGCTCCACCTTTCAAATACCATAGTCCGATTTCCTACCCTCTTAATAGTGATAAAGCAGATCAAGCTTCAATGAGTTTTGGGGGGACATTCAAATCATAACAGTGACTTTTTTTTAAAAGTGGGAAATACCTATTAAATTATTATTTAAATATATTAAATATACTTCAGCATATTAAATACTTTGAATATATTTCCATTTAGCTTATGGTTAAATACTGTACAAAACAAGTTACATCACATACACATCAGAACAGAATGCCCTTTTCCTGATATAAAATAAAAATGGAAAAACCTATTTTAAGTATAATCATAATACCAAATTGCAAGTTTTAAAAGGACCATATTTTTATCTTTATTTCAACTACAGCAAATAACTTGTGTTAGTAGATATTCAACAAAAACTGAATCAAACAAACAGCAAAATCTTGTTAAGTAAAAGCATTAGAAGTAACAGATATACATGGTTTTTTACCTGTAAAAAAATATTAGAAATATGAGATATAAATACTTTTAATTTCTTGTTTTACATTTCCTCTCAAATATCAATTACAAATTATTTATAATAATATAATTACTGATTTGTTGGTATGAGCACAGGTAGGAAAAACAAAATGAGTTGAGTCGGGTTTAAAATAAATGGAGAGTTTTTTTTTCATTTCTATGGATTACCCTACAAATAGGTGCTAACAACAAAGGAAAAATTTTAGAGTCAACAGATGTAGTCTTTAATAAAGTACTAGTTTTGTCTTGAAAGATTCTTAGTCAAATGTTCATTGCATAGGAAAATTTCCTAAAACTTGACCAACATAAGCCAGTGTGGAAAGAGTCAATACTTTCAATTACTATGCCTACACATGAACACTGGAACACCTGATTTTCAAGCAGATGTGATTTTGGAAATACAAAGTTGTTGAAGTGTAGGAATGTCTCAAAATGAACCATATAATTATCATCAATGATGTGAATCAGATTTTACATTTTGTACATACTGAGAATCTAAAAATTGATTTTTTTCTATTTAAAAACATTAACATTACTAAATGTTATTCAATTTAAACCTTACTCATTTTTCAGTATAAAATGAAATACTGAAAACTTTACTGGTAAGATATGATAATTTTGACTTTATATTTCCTCAACACCACATTTCTTTAATCTAGAACCATGAAAAAGGCAAAATATAAGAAACACACCAAGCTATTCCTTTGTGAAAATCTTCATTAAAAAGTCACTTACCAGCATATATGCTTACAAAGTTCCCCTCCTTTCAGAAATGTGGAACAGTTACAAACATGAGGATTTCCTAGAAAAACCTTTAAAAAATGCATACTTAA